GCCGCATCTGAAGTAGGATAGAAAGAGTTGCTTCCAACCACGAAAGTAATGAACGTGATGAAAGCAATGGTGGTATACATTAATCCTGATTCGACAATGATTCGAATGACGTTCTGCAACTTTGTTCTTTGACGCTTCTGTCGACCAAAGAGCCCGCGAGTTCCTTGCAAGGATGAGCTTTGAGTTTGAATGCCAAACAGGGCATTGGTCTGGTCCACGCGCCAAATACGGTAAACAATAACTCCTGGAAGTGAAGTTTGGTCGAAATCGACGCGAGTTGAAAAAAAGGATAAGGAATGAGCCTTACGTACCTGTGGTTATGATATTGTTAGCCAATGACATCGTCCAACCAGCAGTAATACTGGGAGTGAGGCTTGATAATCCTCCAGTGAGCAACACTTTGGGATTTCCTGCGCTCGCTTCCAGATAAATGACGAATATTCCTGTACCGAGATATCCCATCCACAAGAGTATGGGAAATACAACAACAATGATTTTACGGTCGCACACAGCCCAACATCTGTATACCTAGCAGTAGCAGTAGGTGAAGGAAAATGAACTCGACAAACAGGCAACTTTCAAAGTATTTTTGTACTGACCAAGACGCCATCGCTAATTACTTTGCCAAATACGACGTTGCACGTCTGATGGAGGTGAAGAGCAAAGGATGAGACTTCAGCATGATAGAAATCACAAATCTTCATACGAACCTTCAAGATATTCACCCAATCTGTTAAACCTGTAAACCTAGCAGTTGAGCCGCCGGGGCCAGTGTAGAAGATGAAGGCCTCGATACTGTGCATCAGACCTAGTGAGACATCAAAAGTCGACAACGCCATCAAGAGTAGGGCTACAACAAGCATCGGCCAATTGATTGTCGACGCGCGTTTGAGTCTGCCACCTGGAACATTGAAATCCCAAAGCATACACCGCATTGCTTGGACAAAGGTGATGAGCAACATGCCCCAAAAAACGCTGGCGAGAAACAGTCCAAGAATTTGAGCCTCGCTAATCCCCAGAGTGTCTGCCATGGGAATGATAACAAGGAGACGGAGGAACCTGCTTTGCTTAATCGATGATGAGAGAATTTTAAGGAGTCTTCGCTCAGGAGGTCATCCTAGGGTATTGTCCAATCTCCAATCGTGCAAAGAACAAAATGGAAAAAGATCATGTTAGCATCAATACCTTTGGATGGAAGTGTAAAGTTCATATTGCATATGTTAATTATAATGCTGGGTGACAGTTGGAGATGAGACAGCGTGGGCGTCGACCTTCACTGTGATTCGATACATCAAACAATGTGAATTACATAGTTGAACGGCGGTGTTGAAACTGCTCCCAGAAGACTGAACGAGGGCGAGAAGAGTCGGATTGCTAATCAGTGACCTAGATGCTGGATTATTGGTATTCATCGTATAGCAAATATCCAGACCGGGATCTTGATTCAAAACCTTTTTTGAGCATCCATCGAAAACAGGTCCAAGTACTTGAGACGGGAAACGCCACCATTAGGAACATACCGATAAGAGATTCAAATTTACTTAGTAGATCGTGTGCATAATAAGTCGGGGAGCATTGGAAAAGGCCGAGTACAGAATGATCAAGTTGCCAGAACACCGTACCCTCCGGTGATAATCAGTAGTTCAAGGGAAGGCGCATTGGTGAAATTATGTGTGTGCAATTGATTCACCAAAGTTTGACCTCACTGGATTCAGAGAAGGGTATCGAGGTTTGGTACCGGCTCCAGAGTTTAGGCGATGATACTGAAATTCATCAGAAACTCTCCAGACAGCAGATTGAGAACGTCCAATGGGCCAAACACATCTGGCACCTGAATCCGCATTGATCAGTATTCATTTGAATAGCTTACCTGGAACGTTAGGAACCAGCCCAAAAGAGGTCCTTATACAAACACGTTTCATCTCGGCATCGAAGAAAGCAATTGTAGAATATATCTTCACCTTTAGGTTTCTGTGCTTTCATATTTCGTTATCATGTTGTCCTAAACTGTTGTGGAAAAAACACGACAGGTATTATAGACATAAGGAAATAATATACGCATTGGACCTCAGCTTCTCGTACAGTATCAATAAATGATTGGGTTTGATCTTTGTTTCGGTGTCCTTGACAATGAGATGCAGATGCTTGGAGTTTGTTGAATGCGTGAGGTTACAAGGGAGGGAACATGGTCAATGTGCATCTAGATTTATCGAACTTCATGAGGATTGTTATCACAGGCGCTTTAGTTGTTCGTAGTTATCATGCACTTTGTTAAGGTTTTATACCGCTGGGGAACGACATCTGGAATTGGCCTGTTTGAATGGGGTTCCCGAGGATGTAGTACGACCTGTACGGATTATTGTTCGGAGGAGGCAACATACCGGTTGGAAAAACTAGTTGGATGCTTTACTTTACGATTAGCCAGGTTAGTCTTGGCAGAAAATTTGAGAGAGAGTGGAGCTTGTGCCTATGCGACGAGGAAGGTTTGAAGCCAGAGAGGTTCACTTGATTTTGGGTTATGCTGTGGAAATAGTAAATCTGTTGGAACAGCGGCAGTGCCTCGTTTGGAATGACACAGTAACTGGTTCAGCTGGGAGACGTACCATGTTGCCTTCTGGAAGTGTAACTTGATTGGTTTTACTGATAGACGGATGATGAAGATAGACGGATGATGAAGATATCCGTATATGAGAGGAGATTCAGAGGCCGGACGAGCTATGATGGCTACAGCGGAACGGGCAGCGATTGTTAATTATACACCTGAATCCTATCGTATGTACATTCAAAAGAACACACTCGTACTTTCGACGACTTATATGTTATGCATTTGCAATGAGCTGTGGGCTGTCATAAAATCATCCTCACATCTATACCCACTCTACCAAGTCCTTTCCAGCATTCGATTAACCACTACCGGTCTTCCACTCGATGGATGAGCCATATCATTCATCCTTGCCTCTCGCATGGTATTCAGCATCGAAGACAGGAAAATGGCTGTGACTATGCGCCCTTGACCGAACGGCCATGGGTTGATTGGCGAATTCGCAGTGTCGTCTGCCCCTCCTACACTGCCGGGAGTATTACCCAGCGGCGTCGAGCCAGCCCTTGGGCCTGCTCCTGCTGCATGGGATGTATGAGATGCAGGAGACCCAGAGCTAGTTCCATCTCCGAATAAATCTTCCATCCGTCCACCACCACCTCCGACACTATTCGGTGTCCCGGCTCTCGAGCCTGACCGAGATCTCAGTCCCGTTGCAGACCTCTTTGTGGGGCTAAGAGATCCGAGGGAGACTGGAACTAGAGCTGGAGGGTAACGGTGTTGCATTTGTTGCATTTGTTGTGGGTGTTGGGGCATAAAATACGGAGGCATGCTGTTTATCATGTGCTGTGGCGGTGGTAGTGCTGAGACATACCCTTGTTTTTTGAGATGTGCCTGTAATTGCATTGCGCCATGGAATCGTTGTCGTTCAAGTTGCCATTCCATATCAGAGGTAGTGGCGGCGGATGCAGAAACGTTCCGGGAAAGACTTTTCTGGCTCTGCATACTTTGGGAAACACGGGCTCCTTTCATCGTACTCTTGGAATTACCCGCAGCGTTCCTCTTATCCATATTTGCATTTGCATTCATATTCCTCATTTCTTCAGCAGTGACGTCTTCGCGGTACCTATTCCACAGACTGTACATCGATATGATCTCCTGCGCTATGGTGGCTATGGCAGAAAGCGAGACGTTAAGGTTTGCGAGAAAATCGATGGGGTCTTGTTGGTTTGCATGTTTCGATGAGGAATCACTAGTCCGCGACGAACGTCTTGGATGGGGAGCTGTGTGGGATGACTCGCCTGAGTTTGTAGAGTCGGAGTTGAATGCAGGAGAATAAGGTAGTAGATGCGCGATGCTATTCTGAGTGGGTGTATGAAGGACAAGAGTAAGATAGATGGCGGTCACGGCGATCAGGTGCGGTGGATAGATGAGACAAAGCTCAGAGCGATAGGTGTCGTTAATTATGAACCTAGAGGTCAATCTTTTGGTATCAAAAGAAACGTAGAGCAATGAGTATGTACATACCATGCGGTCTGTAACCCCCCTTCAGATAACTCCAGTTGTCCTTGGCCGGTACCCCAATACCTGGGGCCGTCCTCGGCGCCGATGCCGGTGCCCAGTTCGCCGGCTTCAGCTTCCTCCGCAGGAGAATCCGAGCTGGAATTGCTGGTGCCAAAATCCTTATTACACAAAGCAAGCAATGTTCGATACGGATGAAACACGATTAAGTCACACTCCAGATCGTCCACAAGATAAAATTCCATTTCCGCAAGTTTGGAGTTGTCGGAAGGGAAGTGCTTGACATTGTATTGTTCTTCTATAAGGTGTCATGTTTGGAACACTTGAGTACTCGTTCTTCGCGGAATGGAATGGTCAAAATCTCACGACTGAACAGGGCACGCGACTCGGCCACCACGTTCTTTATGTGTACTGGGGACTCTTCTGCCTTTGCAGCGACATAGCAGCACGCTGAGAGAACAAGATAAGGGTCTGTTTCGCAGTACGAGTTCTTCAGGTAAAATCTCCGAAAGAACACTGTAGCAGTGGCTATGACCCGTTGTCGAAATCCGAGTTTCTTCCCTAGCTTTGAAATAACTAGTCATATGGAATGAGATATTACAGCTAGATGAGAGAGCTGACCACAACCTACTGTTGGCGAAATAGATGGCGAGGAATTCAAGACATTCTGGCTCTGAAACGTACACCAAATCGTCTGCGCGTGCTTGCTTCAATGTTGCCCGGTCGACGATCCAGCGTTTACTGAGCGCAGAAAGTTAAAACACGAATGCGGGGCCGTCGTATAGCGCTTTCTCACTAATGCGAGCTTGCCCAAAAGTCGGTGGCCATTAATTGGATGGTAGAAAAGGAGAAGGCGCGAAGACCGTCTCAAACGATATAACTCACGCCCGGTAAACTAGCGAACACCGGTGAGAGATGCCGTTTTTTGTTTCATTTCGACGGTGAGATGGCCGAGCGGTCTAAGGCGCCAGACTAAGGACACCAGCGTATTTGATGCGTACTGCAATCTGGTCACATTGTGGCGTGGGTTCGAATCCCACTCTCATCATTTTTGCCGTTGCATTTTTTCTTTTTTGATGTTATGGCACAATGAAAATCATTCAAAAGCAGACCTGCAATAATGCTTCGAAGTTTGCAGCAAATTTTTTGAAATACATTTTTTGCAAGACAGTTATGAATCCACTCTATGCGTAAACGTGAAGGTGTACGCGTCCTCGAAGACGGGCATGTGTTTAATTCAACGCGCATACAACCGACGTGCCTCGGACACCGGCTAGCAAACCTCTACGAGCCGAGGGGACGGGAGTAAAAATTCCCACTCGCGTTTCTCATTGGCGTGTGATTCTCCGTGCTCACCTTAATAACAAGGGCGCTTGTGTTGTATCTTGGATAGCTACCACCACCACCACCTCTTTCTTTGTCCAATAATGTCCTCCGCAAGAGCTAAAATACTTGAGAAACACGATGACGACGTAGTTATCGTCTCGGCCATTCGTTCTGCTTTGACCAAAGTGAGAATTTGACCCTGAGTAATGCTCTTGGACGAGACTGATTCAACGGTACTTGCTCTGACAGTCGAAGAAAGGCGGATTCAAAGATACACGACCAGAAGAAATTCTTATGAACGTCCTCAAGCACACATACACTTCCACCAACCTCGACCCGGCGCTTATCGAGGATATTGTTGTGGGTAATGTCCTTCCACCCTCTGGAGGAGCCAGTGCAGCACGTATGGCCGCTATTGCTGCTGGAATTCCAATTGCTACACCCATCACAACGGTTAATAGACAGTGCTCAAGTGGGCTTACGGCTGTCAGCCAAATCGCGAATAGTATCAAGTCTGGCCAGATTGATATCGGTATTGGTGAGCTTCTCTATATATACTGACAGCTTTCCCTCGTCGCATGGACCAACACTAACTCCCAACCAGGCGCCGGTGTGGAATCCATGACATTCGGTTATGGCGCAGGCGCAATGCCAGACGGCTACTCCGACCTAGTCCTCGAAACCCAAGAAGCAGAAGACTGTCTTATCCCAATGGGTATAACCTCTGAAAACGTCGCTGCTGACTACAACATATCCCGGGAAGCCCAAGACACCTTCGCCGCGCTATCCTTCCAAAAAGCTGCCGCCGCCCAAAAAGCACACCTCTTTGACCCGGAGATCCTCCCTATCCGCGTCAAACAGGTGTCTCCTGACGGCGGGAAACAGTTCCTTGTTGACGCAGATGACGGGATTCGAGACGGGGTCACCGTGCAGAGTCTAGGGAAGCTGAAGCCTGCGTTCAAGAAGGATGGATCGACACACGCGGGGAATGCCAGTCAGGTTTCGGACGGAGCTGCTGCGGTGCTTTTGGCGAGGAGGAGCGTGGCGAAGAAGCTTGGGCTGCCAGTTGTGGGTAAGTTTGTTGGCGCGCAGGCTGTTGGGGTTCCGCCGAGAATCATGGGTGTCGGACCCGCGTATGCTATTCCACATGTAAGCAAACAAAAAAAAAAACTCTTACCTACACCCTTCTCCCGACTACAAAAACCCCGACCTAATTCCCAAGCTTCTTGCTTACAACTCATATCACCTGGGGTCCTAACTTTATTCCTAACCTTATATTACATAACTGACATTCCTTCTTTTTCCCCCCTTTTTCCCAACTACACTACTCAATGGTAATCAGGTTCTCAAGAAAACCGGTCTCGAAATGTCCGATATTGATTTCTTCGAGATCAACGAGGCGTTTGCATCGCAAGCGCTGTTTTGCTGTGAGCAGCTTGGTATTCCCTGGAAGGAAGCCGGGTTAACGGGGAAGGTCAACCGATGGGGAGGTGCGATCGCTATTGGGCACCCTCTTGGTTGTAGTGAGTGATATCTTTTCTTGTTTTTTCTTGTTTCGTTTCGTTTCGTATATTATTTTTTTTCCCGGCTTCTTGGAATACCGGTTGTTTACCTTTTTTACCTGTCTCCTGTTCGTCACACACGAGGTACATTACTAACTTTCGATTATCCATCCATCCATCCTCCTCCTTATTCTTCTTCCCCGCCCACCTCATCATCATCATCAATCAATTAATCACCTCACCCCCACACCATGCATCATCTCCCAACAACAACAACAACAACAACAACAACAACCAGCCGGTGCCCGCCAAATCGCCACTGGTCTCAACATCGCCAAGCACGACAGCGAGAAAGTGTTTGTGACGAGTATGTGCATTGGGAGCGGGATGGGGATGGCTGGTGTCTTTGTCAATGAGCAATGAAGGATCTGATCTACGCGACTGTGGTGTGGTGAAATGAGTTGAGTGGATGGACTTGCATAGCTTCGTATCGGATTGATTATCAAGTGACCAATGTACCTAGTTATGTATGTAGAGAATGTTAACTGTATTCCGCTTGCTTCAATAACGAGCAAAGAAACGGAGCGGTTTAAAGAAATGTGTGGATGCATCAATATTGCTTCTTGATAATCGGACGAGTTGTAGGTGGATACCGGTACATCCCCGATCGACAGCGGCTGGTAGCCTGTACGAATTCAAAGGGTAAAAGGGAGGGCGGGGAACGCGAAAAAGCACGAAAACGACGCTAAGAGATTCAACGAGTGAGAGTGGTAAGCAATCACAGTATGTACTCTAACACACCTGACAGTTCAACTGATATTCTTCTGACTCTAGTCTGACTGGAAAAGGGCCTTGTTCCAAGGCACTGACCTTCCTTACTCAAGGCTATTAATTCAGGACTGGGAGAGTCACTACATGGCATCTGCCCAATCAAACTCAAATTTGAATCAATGCATTAGTAGAAATAGGCAGTAGCAATGGGCAGTAAAGCAGCCAGAGTAGTATTTCTTCTACAATTCATCAGAGGAACCTTGAGAAATAAATTAATTGTACAGTGTAAGAGTTATTTGCCCTTCATGGATGTATTCATGTAATATTTTCAAGACAGGCAGTGCCAATTGACATTGCTTGTCACACATGTTACACATGGGAGGAGAATAAATCGATAAATGCTCATTGTGTAATAATTCATGATACTTCAAGCACTGTTCTTTAATGTTCTTTAAGTGTTGCATCAGAGCAAATTGGAATTGGAATGTGTTGCAGATTCACTCAAAGAGTTCAGCTTATGGCCACTGTGTGTCCAGCAATGGCAGATGCTTTTTGCATGTGCTACTTACCTAGCAGTGCTGTCATATGCTCTGGGTTACACATTCCCCTGAAAAAAGAATTGAATTTGATTCATATGAATATTCTTTGTGCAAGTTGATGGTTCTCAGAAACTGTTTCGCAAATAAATCATGAGCAGAATTTATTGTGTTACATAAAAGTTTACAAACAGTCAAAGGTAATCAATAGCAAAACAAATAACAAACATGTAAAAGTAGTATTTTAAAAAAATTGAAAGAAGGAACATAAGCAAAACATGTAGTGAAAATATCAATTGCAAAGACATTGAACAATCCAATGGGGAGGTTTCATTTTTAGTTAATAGAGTGCACCGTTTTTCAGTAGTAACTGCACAATGTTCTTATTACCCATGTATGAGGCTGCTTGGAGCTCATTCCCGTATTTTCTGTACATCTCTTCCCATCTTGAAAACTGTACACTGTTTTTCAACATTGCATGTATCAAATTCTGACTTTGGCCTGCTACTTTGAACTCCTCCACCTTCGATGCATGTAAAAGCCAATATTTGACTGCATAAGCCACCAAACCCTGCCAATCAAATGAAGTATTGTCATATTGCATGAGGTAGATGATGGTTGTTTGGGTTATCACATCATGAGCTAGGTGTTCATTGAATGACAATGAATTACTGATCTCATTGGATTGCTGATATGAAATGAGATATTCCTTGACTGATGCATGGGCAAGTTGAATGGTATCATCCTGTCCTACAGTCACAAATGAAGAGGGAATATCCTTCTCCACCTGAAAATCCATTTCATCAGGATCATACTTTTGCTCTGAGAGGTCAATTTTCCATATGTCATTGACCTGTCTCCTGGTCAATGGCTCAAAAGCATAGAGAAGCCACAGAAGTAGATGTTGTACATCTTCTTTTTCTTCTTCTGTTAGCTCTCTTAGAGTTTGGTCATATGTGTCCTTGAGAGTTGCAGGTAATGTCTTCAAAGCTTCTTTTACATCCCGGTTCCTCTTGCATTTCTGCAACTGCATCATCTGGCAATCAACCCAGCGAAATCTGAGATATTGTTTTAAATTAAGCTTCCTTTCAAGTTGATTCTCCACAAATACTACTCACATTCCATGAGCACCTTTGTTCAATGTTTCCTTTATTTCCCCAATGATGTCACCTTTGAACTGTGGCTGATCATGAATCTTGAGCTCGATGTACCTTGCGATATCCTCCTCAATTCTTGACTTTGGGCCACCAAGTTCAATATGAAGCAGATTCTGTACAACCAATCCTGGTTTCAATCTGCTTGTCACAATGATCCGCAAGTCATTTGAGGATGCAGCCAACCAATTTAACACCTTGTCTACATCTGCCTCTTGGCATTCATCCAATGCATCAACAGCAATGGTCATATCATTTCTGTCTTTGATCATTGTTTCCAATATGTTTTCAAGCTCCCTGTGTGTGAGGTGCCCAGATGGGTTTGACTTGTAAAGGGTGTTGAGAGCAGGATGAATACCCTCACTTGATAGTCCCATTTGCTGAACCAAAGACAACAAGAACCCACTGTATGTGGTCTTTGACTCTGTGTTATCCCGGGTATCAAAATAATGATACCAGATCGGACTTCTTTGGTTCATCATTTCCAGGTTTTGAATGATTGTTGTGCTAGAATGTTGTGATTTAATTAATGAAAGTGAGCTGTCATTATTATTTTCCATTATCACATACATGAGAAAGGTCTTTCCTGACCCAGCTATAGTTTCTGATAAGTTGAAAAACATTCCTTCCTTTGAGAGCATAAGTCAAACCTGGTCCTTGAATCCACAGAATACCATTGTCAGATCCCCATTGCTTGTATGTATCAAGTTCAAATATCCATTGGCCAGTGCCTAAGCATTTGTTGTTTACTGCAGTGGC